TGCTGAGCTACCGCCCGGGTGTAGTTCCCTTCACTCAGCTGCTGCCACAATACAAGGGGATCCATTCTCCCCTTAGCTCCTGAGCATTCACTGCATGCGTGTTCCTTGCAGGGTCCACTGGAAGCATGTCCCTCTGACGGTATGGCCTTCTGTCTATCCCTGCTAGATGGTGACCACAGCCCTGGCAGCCATGAGCACTCCTACATCGGGAAGCGGTCAAACCGGGTGGTACGAACCCTCCAGAACAGTAAGTGGAGGATGTGGCTGGCCTGGGCACCTAGGTGCTGTGTCTGTCTGGGCCTGTGGGACTGGCTTCGGTCAGCGGCCACCTTTCCCTACTCCAGCCTGGGCCTGGCTCGCTCATCTGCGTCCCTTGTGTTCTAGCACCGTCCCTGCACTCCAGGCACTGGGGAGCCCCCCAGCAGCGGGAGGGATGGCAGCAGCAGCACCCTGAGGAGCTGAGTGTGACCCCCACCCCCCTGGGGCTGCAGGAGACCATCGCAGAGTCCTTGTACATTGCCCGGCCGCTGTTGCACTGTATCCTTAGCGCGGGGCAGGATAGGGCTGGCACTGCGGGCTGGGGATTGGGTGGGGAGTGCGCCGAGCCGGGCCCCTGTGCCGGAGACATCCTTGACGCCTTGGCCGTCAGTGCTCAGCCTGGGCCTATGGGGTCAGAGGTCATGGAAACCTTGGCTCTTGGCTGGTGTTGTGGACGTGACCAGGTGAGCCTGGGCCTGCCTGGGGCTCCACTCTCCACTGGGCTTTCTGCTACAATCCTGGCGTCACCTAGGCGGGGCAGCAGCAGCCCTTGCCCCTCCTGTTGCTGCCCCTCTGCATACCCAGCCTGTGGCTCCTCCCCTTCTGTGGGCCCAGATCATGCCCCTGGCCCTGACCGTGTCCTCCCTGCCCCCCAGCCTGAGCCTCCTGAGTGACAGGAAGGGCCTGACCCGGAGGGAGCGGCGGGAGCTGCGGCGCCGGACCATCCTGCTGCTGTACTACCTGCTCCGCTCTCCGTTCTATGACCGCTTCTCTGAGTAAGCACCCAGCCCCTCCCAGAATGGCCAGGCCCACCCTCAGCCAGGGAGAGGGCCGGCAAGTGGGCACTGGTGCTCCGGTCCCTGTTGGCACCTTCCCTCCCCAGTGCCTTGTCCAGGGTTCACTGAGTACCTACTGTGTGCTGTCTGGGTGGCAGTCACCAGATGCCAGCCCAGCTCTCCGGGCCATCAGGCCACACGAGCATGAGCTTAAACACGGTTGGCAGGAGAGGCACTGAGGACCGGTGAGGGCATTGCAGGGCGGCCCACAGGGACGACGGCTGGCGTGGGTGCCCCATGGCCTCTAGTTCATTTCCTCTTCTTCCTGCCAAATAGTTTGGCTTATCCTCACTTCTCAGAGGAGGCACTGGAGGTTCAAGGAGGTTGGGCAACTTAAACGAAGCTACCCAGTTAGCCAGTGGTAGAGCTAGATCCCAGCCACGTGGTCTCCCCTGGTCTTCCCTGCCTGGCTCAGCCTCCAGTCGCCTGTGAGGGTCCAGAGCTCCCAGCCTCAGAGGGGCCTGCTGGGTTGAGCAAGGGGCAGCTTGGGACCAGTTCTTTCTACGGGCCTGCCACTGTGTCTGTGTGAGGTTAGACTGCAGTCTGATGGAACCCTGTGCAGCGGCTGGGACTGTGAGACAGACAAGGCTCCTGGGACCCCCTTTGTCTAGGACCTAGTAACTGCTTGAAAGCTGGCATAGGCTGGGCAGCAGTGGCTCACACCTATAATCCTAGCACTTTGGGAGGCCAAGGCAGGAGGTTTGCTTGAGGCCAGGAGTTTGAGGCCAGCCTGGGCAGCCCATCTCTACAAAAAAATAAAAATAAAAATAAGTAATAAATTAGCAAGACATGGTGATGTGCACCAGTAGTTCCAGCTACTCAGGAGGCTGAGGCATGAGGATCAGTCCAGGAGGTTGAGGCTGCAGTGAGTTATGATCACTCCGTCACACAGAGTGTGACAGAGTGCCTGGGTGACAGAGTAAGTCCCTGTCTCAACAAAACAAAACAAAAACTGGCGTAGTTTAGCCAGGCGCGATGCCTCACACCTGTAATCCCAGCACTTTGGGAGGCTGATGTGGGAGGATTGCTTGAGGCAAGGAGTGTGAGACCAGCCTGGACAACATAGTGAGACTCAGTCTCTACTGAAAATACAAAAATTAGCGTGGTGGCAGGTGCCTGTAGTCCCAGCTACTCAGGAGGCTGAGGCAGAAGAATTGCTTGAACCAAGGAGGCAGAGGTTGCAGTGAGCTGAGATCACGCCACTGCACTTCAGTCTGGGTGACAGAGCGAGACACCATCTTTTTTTAAAAGAAAAAAGAGAGGCCGGGCGTGGTGGCTCACGCCTATAATCCCAGCACTTTGGGAGGCCGAGACAGGCAGATCACAAGGTCAGGAGTTTGAGACCAGCCTGGACAATATGGTGAAACCCTGTCTCTACTAAAATTACAAAAATTAGCTGGCTCTGGTGGCGGGTGTCTGTAGTCCCAGCTACTTGGGAGGCTGGGGCAGGAGAATCACTTGAACCCAGGAGGCGGAGGTTGCAGTGAGCCAAGATCACGCCATTGCACTCTAGCCTGGGTGACAGAGCAAGACTCCATCTCAAAAAAAAAAAAAAAAAGAGAAAAGTGGAAGGTTGCTCCATCTGGACTCTGCCCTGGTACCTCTCTGGACCCTGCCCCCGTCATTTGGGGAAACAAAGGCCTGGCTTGGTCTCCTAAAGTGCTGGGATTACAGGCGTGAGCTACCACACCCAGCCAGCCTTCCTCTTACTGCCCAGACAGAAGCATAAAGAGCCAGGCTGCACAAGGAGCCAGGCCGCCTTCCAGATGTGTGGCCTTGGGCAAGTTATTTGATACCCCTGTGCCTCGTTTCCTCACCTGTAAGAGGGGGATGGTGACAGTTCCCACTTTGCAGGGATTCAATGACTAATGCATCCAGTCCGGCAGTGCGTGGGGCGTAGTAAGCACGTAGTGCTATGCGTTGTTATCAGCCTCCTCATCTCACCCGAGTTTCCCTGTGGAAAACCCTCAGCTATTCAAAATCAAGGCCTTGGGCCTTGCCTCTTCCCCTGAACCAAAATGTGCTCTCCTCAGCACTGTGTTCCCTCCTGGGGCCCTGACTACTCTCATTGGTGGTTTGTGAGGTTTCTCTGCAGGCCAGCGCTTCTGCCAGACTGGGGGCTTCCTGGGGGCAGGGTGAGGTTGTCCTCTGTCGACCTTCCACTGTACCGGCTGGGCACTGCTCCACATGTGACCCTCTAGAGGCCTTTGGTGTTGGATGTCAGTGGAAGGGAAAAGAGGGAAAGAGGAATGGGAGGAGGTGTTGTGGGTTAGTGCCACCCCAAAGCTGAGCTGGTGGAGGGTGGAGGCAGAGCCAGCCCCAGAGGTCTCGTCTTGTGTACTGGGCTCTGCCCTGGCTCCCGAGAAAGTCACCCTTGTCTTCTGGAATGCACTGCGTTCAGCATGGTCGTCAGCAAAGGCCTCTGGGCCTCCTGATTTGCAGGGATCCCCCTACTCAGCATGCTCCCCATTTATTGCCTCCCCCAGGGCCAGGATTCTCTTCCTGCTCCAGCTGCTGGCCGACCACGTCCCTGGCCTTGGCCTGGTCACAAGTAAGCAGGGGCCGGGACGTGATGACTGTCGCGTTGGGAGTCACATGCGTGCCGCGTCTCCCTGACTTCTCTCTCCTTGCAGTTCGATTCTTGGCACAGTCAGGAGAGGAGGTCGGGAAGTCAGGACTGGGTGGGACTGCCCCTGGGCATAGGCCAGGGTGACCAGCGGAGCCAGGGTGGCTGGAAGGAGGGTGTCCCGTGGTTGGGGGACTGTTAGACCACATCGGCTACCAGCTTTTTTCTGGTCACAAGTTTCCTGGAGCAATAAGGGTCCATCTCACCTGGGGGGTTTCAATGGCAGAGAAAGGGCCCACCAGGCTGCTGAGATCCCCTCTCAGCAGGCCACTGGGCTTGAGTCGCGTGACTTGGACATGACTCAGACCGGTCCCTCAGTGCCTCCCCTGGATGAGCTTCTTTAGGCCTGAGTGTCCTCGTCTATAAATGGGGCCAGAGTCCCCTGTGATGCTGCCTCCCTAGGGGTGGGGCAGGGGGGCCAGTGGGGCTCCTGGGCTGCAGGTGTGAGGTGCTGTATGTGGTGCCACAGCGCAGATTGGAGTCTGGCCCGCTCTGATGTGTCCCTCTCTCACTGCAGGGCCGCTCATGGATTACTTGCCCACCTGGCAGAAAATCTACTTCTACAATTGGGGCTGACAGACCTCCCGGAAGCAGGGTGTAGGGAGGAGCGAGGCAGGGGCCCCCCCTTCCCTAATAAAACTGACTCTGGCAGCGTCCCAGCGTGCGTGCGGCCTCTCCGTGCCCACTGGCCAGGCCTGGCACACAGCCTTGGTTGCCACCGACACTCCTCCCAAGACCCCCTTGACTGCGCCCTCCTGTGACGACACCACTGCAGCCCACACCTTGTCACTGCTGGGCCAAGAAGCTTCCACTAGGAGTGGGATCCAGGCTCCTCTCCCACAGAAAGCGGTGACTTCACTTCATGGCGCACGGGAAGCCGCTGGCTCTGGCAGCCAAAGGAGTGAACGTGGCTGCGCTCTCGCTGACCGTGGTGGGACAGGAAGGCTGAACCTGGGCAAGGGCTGACCGCTGCCCAGCGTGTCTTCTGGCCAGGGCCCCCGTATGCCCCTTCTCTGCAGGGCTCTGGCACCCCAGGCCATGGCATTGCCAGCCTCCCTGCGACAGAGCCTGGTGAACAGTGAGCCCGGCTCCCACACAAAGTAGCACCTTAAGCCCTCATCCTCGGTTGAGAGTCAAAGGCTTTTCTCCCGTGGGAGGAGAATGTCCAGCACCAGCCGACACTAGGGAGGGAGTGGGAGCCGGACAGGCTCAGGGAGAAAGCCAGGCCAGTTCACCGGTCATGAGCTGCGGTTCCCCACTCACCCTGCCGGCTTCAGAGCCCCGGTCCACCTGGAGCCGCGCAGGCTGCTATGGTGGGAGGGCCTGGACAGAGTGGGCCGAGGGCTAGCCTTTCTCTCCCTGACCTTAACCTGTTTTCAGCCACTGGCCCTGTGAAGAGCCAGCCACTCCTGCCAGAGTTCCAAACCCATAGAGAGGGCTCCATCTGCACCCAGGTCCTCCATGCCTCAGACACTCCCAGATACTGCTTTCCTCTGGGGCCTCTGAGGAGCACCCCACAGTTCCTCGCCCACACGCAGGGGAAGGGGCTGTCCTGGCTACCCCGGACTTCAGCTCAGTGTATCAGACGTTTCTGGGTGCATGCCCCGTAGCAGGCTTGCACCATGTGCCTGTCAGAAACCTGCAGTGAAGCACAGTTCCCCGACGGCCACCTCCCACTCACTCACAGGGGAGACAGGCTTGTGGATGCAGGTGCCACACTGGGGGCGTGGTAGGAGGGGGTGTCCCCAGAATGGGGCGTGGCTTGGGCGTGGCCCGGTAGTGCTGACTGCCTGCCAGAGGTGAGGGGTTTCATCAGGCTTCACCAGCGAAGCCTTGACTCGGCTTGAAACCGGTAGAACTGTTTGGTTTTTCCATAGGCAGCCTGCCCAGGGTTACAGCTGTGTGGAGCCATGGGAGGTGGGGCTGGAGGCTGGAGGGGAAGGTCAGGGCCACACTGAACATGGCATCACATACCCAGTGGAGAAACTCGGACCTCGTCTGGCAGGTGGGGAGGGGCCTGTGTTTGTAAATACTCCAGCAGCCTTGCGGAGGATGCTTTGGTGGGCAGAGGTGGAAGGATGGGGCGGTGACATTAGAGGTAGGGGTCTGTAGCAGTGGGAGGGGCAATGGCAGTGGCCGCACAGATTACGGGTAACCTCAGCTAGTCTTGGGGACTGGCGTGGAGGAAGAGGGTGGTGTCTAGGAGTCGAAGAGCGGGAAGGACAAGGGGCTTTGGGGTCAGGCAGAGCAGACAGAATTCCAGGTTCCTGGCAGGGCAAGCCTTGGTGGACACAGGATGCTGAGGCAGGCTTGTGGGGGACATGTTGTCTCCAGGACTTACAAAGGGACGTGACTGACCACTGGGAACTGAGTCAGGTGTAACAGGGTGACGGGGCTGAGGAACCCCTAGAACTTGTCAGCCTCTAGGGTAGTTAGGACCAGGAGCGTGAATGAGGCCACTGGAGGAGCCAGGGTTGGAAACAAGGGCTTCCCCCCAGATCCCTCAGCGGTCACAGGAGAGTGGCTGGGCCCGTCAGCAGTTGGCCATCTCAGGCAACTGGGTTAGCAAAGCTTCAGAGCTCTGGGTTCTGATACAACAGATCTGGCTGGGGCCAGGGGTTTTGTTTTGAAGGCTTTTGGTGGTTCTGGTGAATGAGGTTTGCACTGCATGTGTAAGTGGGCTGGGCCTGGCTGCTGAGCGGAGAACCAGGAGCCAGCCAGAGGCCTTCCAGTGGTGCCTGCAGCTGAGCCCAGGCCTGCGAGGAGAGGGTGTCCAGCGCAGGGTCGAGCTGCACTTGGTCACTCGGCACTGTCCAGGCTGCAGAGTCCAGTGAACCAAGCCCTCCCTGCCTTTCCGAAGCCTGCACCCGAGGGGCAGCTCCAGACCTCTGCCACCATGCCTGGAAGCCCTCCAACCTGCCTGAGGCTGCTTTAAGCTGCAGGGAGTGGAGAGGGAGAGGCCCTCCCTGCAGGGACAGACAGCAGGACACGGAGACCCTGAGCTGGGCAGGGTTGATAGACCCACTCTGGGCTTCTCAGCTGCCAGGACCTGCCCTGGGCTCCTGCGATGCCAACAGGGGTAGGGTGGGGTGGGGAGGCTGTGGGAATGGCTGGGGCTCTGGGTGGTGAGGATCCCCTGCCCTCTTTGGAGGGCCTACCGTATGCCAGATGGTCGGGTGTGTTATGGACTTTACTTTCCAGATGAGTGAGTTTAGGCACACACAGATGAAGTGACTCGTGCGGCTAGCAAGAGGCAAGGTCAGGACCTGAGCTGAGATCTGACTCCACAGGGTGTGCCCTTATTCCCTGGACAGCAACATCAGAACAAGATCCGGTTTAGCACCTATTAGCCAACGGCATGAATAAGAACAAAAGCCTCAGGGCGGACGTCCCCAGGTCTGCCCCGGAGCCGGTGCTGACACAGGCCTGGAATGAAGGCCCTTTGTGAGGTGGCCCTGGGAGCTGGCAGCAGGTTCCGTCCTGCCAGAAGAGGGACAACAGGAGCCAGGACCTGTGTAGAAGATGGTTCTCGCCATGGTGGGGGCTTTGCACCCCCGGGCTGGGCTCAGCCTCTTCCTCCTCCACCTCCTCCTGGCGGCGGCACTGCTTCGCTCCCATCCTCTGAGGTGCCCCTTGGGGCAGAAGGGCGGGGCACCGGGGGCTGGGCAGCACAGGTGCTGCCCTCCCCTCCCTGGAGTGGGGCTGGCCCTATTACCCTGGATGTGGGAGGGCTTGCCAAGTGCCCCCACACCGGGCCAACTCCCCATTCACAAGGAGGTGCCAGTGGCCTCCAGGGCCAGGGCCGAGCACCCCAACATCTCCCACAGGTCTCAGCAGTCTGCTCCCGAGGCGTTCTCTGCCCCCCTGGAACTCTCGCAACCATTTTCCGGCCTGGTGGATGGTAGTATCTCTCTCATCCCCTTCCTCTGCCCCTCCCTGACAGTGGAGACCCCCTAAGAGTGCCCAGGCCCAGCCTTCAGGGGCTTGTCATCCCAAACCACATCTGTTCAAGGGTGACTTCAGTCCCATCAGGGCCGGCGACCACCCTTGCCCTCTTTTCTCTCTTTAGACTATGGCGTCCGCCCCAAGCACCCATGGCCGAGAGGGCCTCGACCCCTCCTGTCCCGGGCCCAGCAGCGCAAGCGGGATGGGCCTGACATGGCTGAATATTACTATGACGCCCACCTGTGACCCCAGGCCCTCATAAAGCTATTCTGCGTGGCAAAGGCTTGGCTTTCCTGGGCTGGGTGCGAGATGGGCATGGGAGGGGTCCTCGCAGATATAGCCACTGCAGTCCAGACAGGAAATGGCACTTTAATAGTTGGGGCCAGGGTGACAGGACCAAGATGGGGCTGGCCTGGGTCAAGTCAGGAAGCCTCCCTCTCCTGCTGGGACAGGGCCTTGCAGCAGCTCCCCCTCCCCACTGAGTTCCTAGGCCTGCCACAGGCCAGCATGCCGGTGAGGTCAGTGGCAGGAGCCACCCAGAGGCCCCGCAGATGACGGAGCTGAGAACAGGACTTCACCTCCACGTGTTGCCATTTCCTCACTGGAAAGTCCTTGGGAGGCGGCCGGACTCAGCCTGAGCTCAGGACCCTTCGGTGGGGGTTGGGGCACGGGCTTCATCCAGGCAGGAGCCAGAGCGCCTGAGCCCTGGCAGGGGAGGTAAGGCCCAGGATGGGGCAGGGCTGTGTGCTCCTGGAACGGACATCCTTCTCTGCCAGAGGTCTGTCCTCCAGCCCTGCCCCCCCGATCCCCGGACAGCCCACTCTGCCCTCCATAGATGAATCTAATCCCATATATTACAATAAACTGCATTTGCCTCTCCCCATCGCCCCCGCCCCTCCCCCACCCTGGGCCAGCGGTCCCCACATCCTCGTCCCCTGGTGGTGGCAGGTGCCCCTCCTCAAGCAGTGCCACATCCTGTCAGCAGCCAGCTGTCCTGGCACTGGCCTGAGGGCCGGGAGACGCAGAGGGCAGGGCTGTGCAGCTACTCCAGGTAGATATCTTCTGTGGGGCACGTGTACTCCACAAACTGCTTGTAGAACTGCTGGAATGCTCTCCTAGAAGCCAGGGACACACAGGTGGCTCAGACCGCCACTGGCCAGGGAGGAACAGGATCCCCACCCAGGGTTTTCCCATTGGAGCCTGGGGGCCCAAGTGCAGCTCTGGCTCCTCTAGCCAGGGCCACTTGGCTCCGTTCTCTACGGAATTGCCATTGCATTTCCCAGTAAGATGCCAGTTGAAGAAATGACCCAGAAGCTACCAAGCTTAGAAGCTGCTCCTCAGACCTGCCCTGCCACCCTCCCTCCAGGCCACTGCACTGGGAGCTGGCGATGGTTCTCCAGAGCTACGGGGTAAACCGAGGAAGCAGCCCCAGGGCCTGAGATTGGGCATGCTCCGTCGGGCTGTGTGCTCGGCAGGACACACACGTACCCCACGGACTCTGCCAGGGCTTTGGTGGAATCCTCAGACACAAAGACGTGGCAGGCAAACCGGTGGTCGGCAGGGTGCTTGGTGATGAACCCAAAGTACCTGTGGGGACAGGTCTGTGCTGGGATGTGGGGTGGGGCTGGCCCACAGCCACCCGATGGCTGCAGACTGCCCGTGCAGCCTCCACTGCTGTCCTAACCCCACTTACTTGTTGTTCTTTGGATGATATCCGCAGAAAGAGATGTTTTTTAACTGGAAAAAGTGGCTACATTTATTCCCCTACAGGAGGGAGAAAAGAAGCAAGACGGCGGTCACCCGGCCTGCGGTGGGGGTAAGAGGAGATGGCCGCTTCATGGCAAGTCTTGGGGGAGAGCTGGGGGCCATGGAAGGAAGGGGCTGGGTTGGGAGAAGTCACCTTGGCCTCCTGGGAGTCATCGGCCTTGACACCTATCTTCACGCCCCGCACGCTGATCTCCAGGACGCAGCTGGAGGGCGGGTTAAAGTGCACGGTGAGCCGGCGGGTGGTGGCAATCTGTAGGTGACGAATGGAGCCACATCAGCTGCTGTCTGTTCCTCTGCTGATCCCTCTTGTGCCAGGGCCTGAGGCCTTAGGCCTTTACTGCCCCTAGACACCTGTGTCCTTCTGCCCCAGGGACCCATCCAAGGGAAGGGAGAGGGCTGAGGTACCTTTTGCATAGCGGCACAGAGGACGTCATTGCCCTTGTGATAGGGAACCTGGACCGAACCCAGGAATTTCACCCGGAACTGGTCCACCCAGTCGCTGTTTTTGGCCAGGGCTGGAAAGCAAGCATGAAGTGAGGAGGAGCAGAACCAGCAGGAGGGGGCTGAACAGCCAAGCCCAGGAGGGTGGGTGAGGCACGGGGAACAGCAGAGCCACAGAGGCTGCCATAATCCCCAGCTGCCCAGCTTGGCCAGGCCTCACTGCTCGATCGTGAAAAGGACCTGAAATCACCTCCACTCAGCCCCTGGCCTGGCTGGCTGAGATCTGGGGCATACGTTCACCCACAGCGAGTCGGGGCAGGCAGATGTGGGGGCTGGAGCACAGGCCAGGGAGGGAACGCTACCTGCCATGTGCTCGGGCTCCTTGGTGACCTCGATGGCGTAGTAGGCGGGAAAGACACCCCGGGCACCAGTGCGCATGTTGTAGGCCTCGTACCAGTAGTCTTCGGCCTGGAGCTCCACCAGCAGAGGGTCGTCCACTTCTAGCTCAAGTTCGTCTTCGTGTCGAGGCACAAACCTGTCCCCAGCAAGGACATGTGAGAAATTCGGCAGCAGGGCCTTTCCAGACAGGCCTGCTCTGGGGTCTGGGAGCCACAGCGGCGGCATTATTTCAGTAAACATTTGCAAAAGCATCCTGTGTGCCTGTCCCAGTAATCACCCCAGAGGAAAGAACGGTCAAGCAGATATGCATCTGCCATCAAGGAAAGCACAGGCCAAGGGAGGGTGCGGGGAGACCCCACTAAAATGGAGAGGTTGTGGGAAGCGTAGGCTTTCGTCTGGAGAAGGGTCAGATGGGGTAGGGGCAGGCAGCCTCCTGGGCACCCCGGCCAGACTAGGTACGCAGTCCTGGGATCCCTCACTCTAGCCATCTACTTTGTCACCATACTCTGAGTCCCTAGAAAGTAGACACTATCTCCCCAGGGCTGAGTGGATCGGTGCACGCTCGTGGCATGGGTTAGGCTGAGGCCATATAGGGGTGGCAAGTGGAGGGTGCTGTGTGGCCCAAACTGTGGCCTGGCCAGGCCTACGTAGTCCACGGCTCTCACCTGAATATGGCCCGGTGGGTCTGCTCCTGCTCCTCCCCGTTGATGACGCAGGAGAACAGCCCAAAGGACTCAGCACCTGCAGGTGAGGGGGTGTGGCTGGAGGAGGGGGGTCGCAGCTCTGATCCAGTATAGCAGGTAGAAGCCTCAGTCCTAACCAGATGGGGCCTGGGGCCACCTCCCAGAACACTCTGCATTTTGGCTCTGTCCCCCTCCCCAGAGACCCCCCAACTGCTTTCTCCTGCTGACTCACTGGAGGAGCGGGAGCGGCCACTCATGAAGACGTTCAGGAACTTCTTGGAGAAATGGACGTCGGGTTCGTCAGGCGTGGAGTCCTCGGAGAGGCAGGCAGGGGGCTGGGGCCGGGGGGCCTCCTCATATTCCTCTCCGATGGCCGACTCATAGGGCGAGGAGGCGGAGGCACAGTTGTCGTAGACGGTGGCCGAGTCACTCTCATCGCTGTAGTCTCCGAAGCACGGCCGCAGGCTCACCAGCTCCAGCTGCGCGTGCTCATCCACCACCAGCGTGTACTTGACCGAGTCATAGGACAGGGCGCTGGTGTCCGAGCTCAGAGAGGCCCGTGGAGGTGGCGGCGGCTCCCCCAGGCTCCCCCGCCACCCTCCGCCTGGGGGCTCAGCCCGCTCTGGGGATGACAGGCAGTCGAAGCCCTCCTCCTCTTCACTGATGGAGGGGTGCGGCTGCCCTGCTGTGGAGGGGTAGGCGGCAGGGTCTGGATCGGAGCTGACCGACATCCGGCTCTCAGTGGGCGGCAGGAAGGCGGAGGTGGGCTCTGCAGGGTCTGGGGGTCTCTGCACTGGGGTCAGGTAGATCTCCTCAGTGGCCTCTAGTCGCACATCGGCCTGGTAGTGGATTCGGTCTCGATGCGAGTGGCCCCGACCCCCAGGTGGAGCAGCAGGAGGACCACCCGGAGGTGCCATCTGGGTGGCTGTGCTGCGGCGGCAAGGGCTGTCGGTGGAGGTGCCTCGATCCGTGGTGGGAGCGGGGCTGCTCTGGGGGGGCAGCTCATCGCTCAGGCAGATGTGTTCATGTGGTGGTGTCTGCTCCCCTGGAGAGCAAGCAGGTCATGAGGAAGGGGGCCCTCACCCAACTCCCGGCTACCTGCGCCCGCCACTCTCAGCTTGGTGACACAGAAACCAAGACAAAGCCTCCCTGCGCAACAGGCCCTTTGCAGACTCTGGGGCCGGTCAGCTTACTCATGCCACCGCTGATCTAGTGCCCGATGGGCTTGTGCAGGGATGTGGGATGGGCAGTTTGCCTCTTCTCTGCCCATTGGAGACTGCGGGGTTTGTTCTCTGCAGTGGGGACTGAGTCAGGGCAGGCTGAGGTCCAGGTAAGGAAGAGGGCCCTGACTTACCTGTCTTCAGGGGTGAGGATGATCGAGACACCCGATCCTGCCAACTGTGTTTTTTGCCCAGAGAATTATTATTCAATGTGTCCTGTGCGGGGAACAAAAGGCTCTTGTGATGGAAGTGGTCAGCACTGCCCGGCACAGGGAGGCCCCGGCCCTGCCCCCTCAGGCCATCCCTAGGGCGTCTGCTATGCCCACCCCGCCTCTACTGTCAAAGGCCTCACTCCCAACTCTCCTCTGGAGCAGGCAGGAGAGGTGGCAAGTCACAGCCAGGCCTGCTGGCTCCGGATGGCCCTCCGCGTTGCTCAGGGTAGCTGGCCAACCCTCAGGGAGATGTTCTTATCAGCCTTAACAGAGGTGACGACGGCCAGTGTGTGTGGTGGCAAGAGGGGGAGACTGTGGGGAAGAAGAGAAGTGGGAGCTCTTTGGAGACACAGTCAGTCCCCCACTCCCAGACACTGAGGGTTACTTGACAAATGCTCCAATCCAGCACAAGTCAGAGACAGGTAATTCTCTGCTCTGGAGCTTTTGAAGTTATGGCCTAGAAGGGGTGGGGACCTGGAAAAAGCACAAGGAAGGGTCTCCCCAGCAGCTGGCCTAGGGGACCGGGATGAATCATCCCAGTGACAAATCCATAA